ATTTTCTATTCTATTCTATTCTATTCTATTCTATAAAAAAGTGTCAAAAAACAATATTTTCGCGAAACGTCAACGTCATGTTTCCGGCAAGATCTTATGTTTTACATTATGTTATCTGTGGTTTTGTTCTTTGTGATGGATACCTTATTGGTGCAAACGCACGCGATGTGTTGATTGGTTGTTAGCTATGTGTTGATATATGTTGTCGATTCGAAATCAATATTTTTTTATGTTTTGTTATTTACATAAGGTTTCGTTCGAGTCCGTACGGTAGACGAAATTATTAATATAGATAAGTGTGCGATGTATTCAACCGCATGAAGATTACCTTGCATTTCCATTTTCAACCCCTTACAACCCTGTTTTCGCATTAAAAAGTAGCCTGTCCTTCCTCGGTATCTGTACTATCTGCGTACCAAATTTCATTTAAACCGGTTCAGTAGTTTTGGCGTGAAAGCGAGACAGACAGACAGACAGAGTTACTTTTGCATTTATAATATTAGTAGTAGTAGGAAGTAAGAATTAGGTATCCTTTTTTGTACCTGTTGCATGAATATTATTGAATATGTCTAATTATGTGGGTGGATCGAAAATAAAGCAGTTTTTATAAAGCTATCTCGTAGTTTACTTCATGGTGACAGCGGTGCGTATAATAAATAGATTTAAAGTATAATTGTACGGTAATTGTGGTGGAAATTAAATTAAATAGGTCCACAATTAGTTATAAAACAAGTTATAAAATGGAACACGCGCGACCGCCGGCGGAATTGTGTTTGGAAGGAGGTCCATTTAATTGGGCCGATACGTGGCGCAAGTGGTTACGTCTGTTTCGAGTTTTCTTGAAAGCATCAGGAGTTCATAAAGAGGCCAGTGCTGTACAAGCTAATTTGTTAATTAATTTAGTGGGATCAGAGGGATATGATATTTACACTACATTCAAGTCTAATTCTGAGGATGAGAAAGAAAATATAGAAAAAGTAATCGAAAAATTTGATAATCATTTTGGGACAAAAACGAATACGACTATGGTGCGGTTTAAATTCTTCACAAGATGTCAAGAGGTCGGTGAGAGTATCGACGATTACGTCACCGCACTCAAACTACTAAGCCAGCGCTGCGAGTTTGAACAACTAGATGTCGCGGGTCAAGGCACACCCTGATGCTACCATCTTTTTTTGCTGCTATGACTATACCATTAACCCACGAAGTGGGATGGTATACCTTCCGTATTATACCCAGATTTTCCATGCGATCCAGTTCCTCTCTAAGTTGGTCTCTCACTCCTAGTGATATTTTTCTAACAAGGCAAATGCAAGGGTTCGCATCACTCTCAATTGGAATAGAATACGTATCAGGTAATTTACCTAATCCATAAAACAACTCATAATATTTATTTATATCTAAAGAATATACTCTTTTAATTAAACCTATTTTTTCTACAGCATGTTTTCCCAAAATACTTTGACACGTTTGGTCCTATATTATAAATTTCAATTTGTGTTCAGTACCTTTATACATCCAATCAATTGTGTAAAAACCTATTATAGATAAGTAAGTACCACAAATCGACCTAGCACGCGTATTGTCAGGTACAATATTTGACAAAGACAAACCTAATTTAGAATAGTTATTTTTCGATAACAAATTTAAGTTGGACCCGGTATCTAGTTTAAATCAATGTCCACTGCCAGTCTGGGATAAATAAAGAGTTTCATACCATTTGGAATCCTCGCTTTGTACTATTGCATCGATGCTTTCAACAGACGAAATATAATGCAAGTCATTTTCACTGCCACTGCAATCCGGATGATTATCACTGAGTTCATACACTTAACTTTGTAATGACCCTTGCCACCACATATGAAGCACTTCACTTTACGCGCCATACAACGATCATTTCCGTCACAGTGAGTGGAGCCGCAAGCGTCGCAGGACCTCGCGGCCGGCGCTGCCCACGCAGCCGGCCCGCCGCTCGCACCGGCGGCGGCTCCGCCGCGGCGCGCTAGCGGCGAGGCGAGTGCCTGTGACTCGCGCCCCTTGTTCCGCGACGCATATCCGGTCGCCCTCTTCGAGTGCTGCTCACTGATGAGTAGACGGTAGCATCAGGGTGTGCCTTGACCCGCGACCTCTAAATCGTGTCATAAAACAACAACATTATCCTTTACCCACCCTCACTGAAATAGCCACCAAGTTAAATGGTATGGTGGCGATACTTCAGTAAATTGGATGTTAAATCGGGGTTCTGGATGATTCAACTAGATGACAGTAGTGCTGACTTGTGCACGTTCGGTACACCGTTCGGCAGGGATCAGTATATGCGTCTGCCGTATGGTATAAATTCTGCGTCTGAAATAGTTCATGCCAGAGTGCGACAGCTGCTGGAAGACCTAATCGGTGTAGATTCATTTATTGATGACGTCATAGTGTGGGGAGCCACTAAAGAGGAACATGACAGTCGTCTAGAATGTCTTCTTGAAAGAGCAAAGAAAGTGGGAATAAAATTTAATTCCGAAAAATGTGAATTTTGTGTCAATGAGGTAACGTACCTGGGACATACCTTTAATGCACAGGTGATGAAAATATTCAATTCAATTCAATTCAATTTATATACTGGAACATGTGTACATAATGGTCTTAAGATTATAATAGTTCCAAACATGCCCTGCCGTTTCCGGCGTGTAAAATATTACATTATTATCACATTATTATATTTAAAATTACTATTATTACAATACATTATTATCACATTATTTTATTTAAAACTATTAATACAATCCATTATTATCATTTAAATAATCATTTGTGGAATAATAACATTTATTTAGTAATTCTTTAAATAATTTACTTTTAAATTGTTTATTGTTCAAATTTCTATAATTGTCTGGAAGATGTTTGAAAATAGATGCATCAAGTGACAGCGATCATGGATATGCCGAATCCATCGGATCGCCAGGCATTGGAGAGATTTCTAGGCATGGTTAATTATGTCAGTAAGTTTATTTCTAATTATTCTGAAAAAGTTACTTCCTTACGGAATTTGTTAAAAAAAGGATATAGAAACGAATTGGTGCCCGTGCGAAGATCAAGTAGTGAATGAATTAAAACGCGATCTGTGCAGCGCGCCCGTTCTGGCGCTATACGAGGCGCGCGCGCCGGCCGTGCTGTCTGTTGCCGCGCGCGCGCGAGCGATCGGCGCCGTGCTGTTGCAGGCCGGCCGGCCCGTCGAGTTCGCCTCCATGACGTTCACTGACACGCAGCAAAGGTATGCTCAAATAGAAAAAGAGATACTGGCTATTGTCTTCGCCCTAGAAAGATTCCATCAGTACATTTTTGGAAAGAGCGATATCACCGTCGAGACTGCATCGGCAGATTGGGAGATTGGGATCTGCGTCGGCAGATTGGGATGAGATGCGAAGTTTTTTTGCATCTTACCCATGGGGGTGAGTTTGTTTCGCACTGGACGATCCTGATGTAATAGCTGAATCTGTCACCGATGTAGTACTTCAGGGAATGGAGATGTTTATTCCAAATTCCCAGGTACCTGTCGGTGGTAGATCTCAGTCCTGGTATAGGGGATCCTGTAGATCGGCGTCTCGTCATAAGCAGGAATGCTTCCGTGCCTGGATTGCAGCTGTAAAGTCGAGTCATCCAGATACCAGTGCTCATAAAAGGAAGTATAACTCCGCTTCCAGGTCCTTCAAGAGTTATAGCCACAGCTTTTTTTTTTTTCCTCTCTGGCAATACTGCCGATAACAGTCTTTGTCAGTTGACTCTTATTTATTTATTGTTTTTAATTTATTATTTGTGATATTACGATACTAGTGTATATAATCAGTGAGTTTTGGTCATAAGTAACGTCGAATATTGTTGGTGTGCAAATCTGTGATTTCTGTGTGACAAAAATCTACGTTACAAAATTTGTGGGACCGCCAATTGTCAAAGTATTGGTAATTTACAATAGAAGTCTTCGATTTCTATTGACTCCTTTAATAATTAGCTACAGTTATTACACTTCACTATTACTATATCCGTTTACAAATAAACAATAATATTAAAGTAAAATATTCTATAGTGAAGATCGGTTGTTGTTGTTGAGGAGAGGAAAAAAAAAACTACCCACTAACATAAAATATTATTGTAATAATTATATTTCGTCGCTTCATTCTTCAGATATAATAACTAGGTAGTTTCCTTAACCTACAAGCAACGTGACGCACGGTTTAGAGAATGTATTTTTTTTTTTTGTCTACCCTACGATACCTTCTTTATTCTCTGTAGCACTAACGTTCTTCATTCCTTTTTCGTGCGCGGCAACGGACGGACGTGTTCTTTTAGCTTAAAATATCATAATAATCATACGTACATTATCATTTTTACTTCGTTTATTGCAATATTTTAGTTAGTAATATTTGTAAATTAATATTATTTTTAATTAAAATATTATAAATATGCCGAAACGAACGGCTGAAGAGAAAATTAATTATTATAGTAAGAAAATACGGAAAATTCAAAAGAAGCAAAAACGTTTAATTGGTGCATCAGAATAAGTAGTAAGTAATCAAGTAGTTCATCAGAATCTCCTTCAGTACCAGAACAAAGTAAGTACATTATCAATATATAATTTTTACCCACAAAAATTTATAAAAATTAGATAACTGGGAGGTTGCCCGAGATGGTAACACGAAAGTGACTATGTCTAATTTTAATTATAAAAAATACTAGACGATCATTCGTTAATTAAATTAGGTGCCTGGAGGTTGCCCGCGATGGTAACACGAAGGTGATGATGCCTAATTGTAACATTAAAAAGCCTGGAGGTTATCCGCGATGATAACACAACGGCATATATGCACTAAAGTACAACAATTTTATTTGTGTACTACACAATATAGAAATTATTCAACCAAGAGGTTGTCCGCGATGACAACACAATGGTTATTTTTCTTAGAAATAAATATTTATTTCTATAATAATACATAATTAATACTTGTCTGGTTTTAATGACAGATCCAGAGGATGAGTCATTCCCGATGGTTGAATCTCCCTGTGAGGAAGAACCAGAGCCAGTGGAAATATTTCCGTTGGTGGTGGAGCCGGATAAAGAATATCCTGCGGATTCGATCGAACCGCAACCATCCACCGTCATATCAACGGAGGCTGAACCGGAGAAATCCTCGGAAGCAATACAAGCCAATTGCTCTATACAGGAGGTTGATCCAGATATTTTAATAGCCTTAGGGGAGATTACTAATGACTCCCCGGATTACGGGGAAAAAATACACGATTGTTTAGCAAAAATTTGGACACCATTATTAAAAAAGGGGTTAAGTAAAGATGTTCGCAAGAAATTAATTAAAGATTACCTTATTCCTGAAAATTGTCCCCTTTTAAAAGCGCCAACATTAAATCCGGAAATTTTAGCCGCTTTACCCGAAACTGGTAGGTTCCGGGATAAGAAAATTTTGGCATCCCAACAACAATTAGGAGTTGGTATCACAGCCATAAATAGAGGACTCAATATATTGTTGTCCGAAACCAGTAATAAGGTTGACGCAATTAAATTCATTAGCGATGGTTGTCGTGTCTTGTCCGATCTTCATTTTCAAAATACAGAGAGTAGAATAAAATTTATATCTCCTGGTCTGGACAAGTCATTTTTACAATTAATACAAGCCTCAGAGAGAGATGATTTACTATTTGGCAGTAAATTATCTGAGAAAATTAAGGCGTCCAAAGCAATTGCTAAACAAAGTCAACATATAAAGAAGGCCCCAAACGCCCCAAAAGCCCCACCACTGCAAACACAAATACTATCAACTCGGCCTAATAACCAGAGAAACTGGCAGGGCCCTCCTCGTTACTCGTCGAACAGGGGGGGGGGGGGGGGCGGAGGACTACGGCGGACAAGTCAACGGCCACCAGTTCAATCCGGAGGTCCTCAATTGAAACCACTGCCATCCAAGACTCGAGGAGTACCTCGCCGAGTATAAATCAGGTACATGCCGGTAGGCTAAAATTTTATTATAGTCAATGGCGTAAAATAACTTCTAATAGTTTAGTCCTTAAATGGATAAGCGAAAGCATAGATATTCCCTTCGAGATAACTGTTACTCAATTAAATGCACCCATTTCGTCTTGGCCAGATTCAGAAAAACAAGATATGAAATTAGCTATAGATAATCTCACAAATTTAGGTGCCGTGTCAATATGTCACTCTTCAGATGACCAATTTTTATCTAAAATATTTTTAGCTCCAAAGCCTAATGGGGGAAAAAGATTTATTTTAAACCTTAAGTCCTTAAACAAATATGTAGTCAAGTCACACTTTAAAATGGAGGACTACAGGACAGCTTCTAAGTTAATATCGAAAGATTGTTATCTAGCGACTATAGATCTTAAGGAAGCGTATTTATTGGTTCCGGTAAATACCCAATTTCGTAAATTTTTACGTTTTCAATTTGAAGGGATTGACTCACAGATAATCACCTATGAATTTAATGCCATGCCATATGGCCTCTCAATAGCACCTAGGATATTTACAAAAATTATGAGGGAGGTAGTTAAATTTTTACGAAACCTCGGTCATCAATCGGTGATATATGTACCTCGATGATTGTCTTTGTATAGGGTCTGACTATGATGAGTGTAAAAATAATGTCAAAAACACACTAGATTTGCTATCTAGCCTTGGTTTCGTTATTAACTTTGAAAAAGCTCATTAGTACCTAGAAAACAATGCAGATTTTTAGGATTTTTATTTGATTCAGTATACTTAACAATTTCATTACCAGATGAAAAACGTATCAAAATAACACAATTATTATTAAAATATTATTCAGTAGTTACATGTACCATTAGGGAATTTTCTCAACTCATTGGCGTCCTTGTAGCAGCTTGTCCAGCCGTTAAATACGGCTGGGTATATACAAAACAATTAGAAAGACAGAAATATCTCATGTTGTTAAAAAATAATGATTATGACTCAGTCATTAATTTTCCTATAAATGTGTATGATGATCTCAATTGGTGGAAAGAAAATATACAACATACATTTAATGATAAAAAAGCACCGAGCTATGTTTTAGAAATTTTTACAGACGCCTCTAAAACAGGTTGGGGAGCGTATTGTAACCAAACGCGAGTACATGGGACTTGGAAAAAGGACGAATTACAATGTCACATTAATTACTTAGAACTGCTAGCGGTTTATTTTGCACTAAAAACTATAGCCAAGGAAAACGTTAATTGTACTATTTTGCTACGAATTGACAACACTACCTGTACACGACGGAATCAATTAGATATAATTAGTATAAGCAAAATTTGTAAGATCATTTTTGTTAATAAAAATAAATCACGCGCAACATACAGTTGCAGTAGGGAAGGCCACCCGTCGGGCGTCTATATAAAGAACGCGGCCGCGCAGCGGTCCGCATTCACTGGCGAGACAGCGACCCGATAGGTGCCTTCCTAAGTGCAAACAACTGAGCATTTTTACTTCGCCGTCCGACCATACGACCAGGGGATCCTAGTACATAGTCCTGTCATCATCATTGTGGTCCTTCGAGAAGCCGGATCCCTGCACCAGGAAGAAAATCAAGATGGTCGTGACGCGAAGCATGAATGAAGAAGGCACTAAAACGAAAAACTCGCATGAATCCACCGAAAACGAAACAAGCGCCGAATCCTCTATGCAGTCAAGTCAAGTGGAGGACTCACCGAATAGAGAAGACACCTCCCAGAAAACAGTGAAGGCGAGGTCACACCGTTCCACGGTCTCAAGCAAAAAACTGGAAGAATTGGAGATTAAAGAACGACTGGCCAAGTTAAAAATCAAACAGCTGCAAGCAGAGGCAGATATGGAGATAGCGCGATTACAACGTTTACGGGCAGAAAAAGACTCCGAGGAAGAATATTCTGAAGAAGAAAAAGAAGACTCCACGTGGGTGGATGCGTGGTTTGATCAACAGCCACGCGAAAAAGAAGTTCCTATGCCACGGGAGGAGAAACAATATGAGGCAGCGGCGTAGAGGAAATTCAAGCAACCGCAGCAAACCATCGACGTTTCGACATTAACGACAGCACTACTGCAAGCATCAAGAAGACGACCAAGGGAGCCGCCTGCATATATACAAGAGTTGCCTATGTTCAGGGGCCTCTCTTATGAATGGTTATCATTCAAGGCAAGCTACGAAGATACACAGCAATACTTCTCGAAGATAGAAAACGTAGCACGCCTGCGAAAATGTATAAAGGGACCAGCACTAGACGCCGTGAGCAGCCTACTCCTGAGTCAACATGAACCAAATGTCATCATAGAAGCACTGGAAAGAAGATTCGGAAGACCAGAAGCACTCATACTCATCGAGATGGATAGAATCAAGTCACTGAGCAAGATCACCGATAACCCACGGGATCTCTGCGTGTTCGCCGGCAAAATAGCGAACACAGTCGCTACGATTGAAGCACTGAAGAAAACACAATATCTACACAGCCCAGAAATGACACGTCTCATCATAGAGAAGCTCACACCTATAATAAAAAATAAATGGTACGACTACGCGCTGAAAAAGGAAGACATCCCGGAATTGAAGAAAATGTCTGTCTTCCTAAACGAAGAGGCAGACAAATGTGCAGCGTACGCCGCGCCGGAACGTCTCGTTGAGAGCGAGACGGAAGATCGAACATTCAGTTGCTACTAATATGAAGCAAAACAATGAAAATGTATGTCCGCTGTGCAAACGCAACCATCAGCTGCCTGACTGCGAGCAATTCAATAACATCGACGTTAATTCAAGATGGGAAACTGCAAAGAAGAATAACATATGCTACAAGTGCCTGAGAAGTAAACATCGACGCGCCGTCTGCAGAGCTCCATGGTGTGGCAAATCTGGATGCCACATGAAACACCATCACTTGTTGCATCATGACAGAAAAGAAGAGGACCAGCTTCAACAACCACCAGAAGAGCATGGGGTGGTAACTTCTACGATGGAAGGCAATGAAGAATGTCTCCGACGTCGCGCCTATCTGAAAATAGTACCTGTCATATTGCAAGGGCCGAAGAGCAAGATAGAAACATACGCTCTTCTCGACGAAGGCAGCACAGTGACACTCATCGATACATCGGTGGCTGACATCCTGGGTATTGATGGTCCGGCAAACACGATGTGGATACAGGGCGTCGGCGCCATGGTCAAGCATGAACACAGCAAGACAACCAGCGTGAAAATCAAGGGCAAACACTCTTCAACCATCTTCAAGCTAGATCAAGTCCGCACAGTGGATCGACTGGATATCACTACCCAGTCGGTCGTCGACAGCGACATAAAGGAGTGTGGTCACCTGAAAGAAATACAAGAAGAACTCGTCTACCACCGTGCCTCCCCCAAGTTATTAATAGGACAAGATAACTGGGATCTCATCGTGTCAAGAGAAGTACGGGCGGGACGTCGTGACCAACCGGTAGCATCCTACACGCTACTAGGTTGGGTTCTGCATGGTTGCAAGACGTCTCTCAGCAACCCGGTGACTTTCTGCGGGCACCTGGTGGAGAAGAAAGATGACGTCAACATAGAAGAAATGATGAAAAATTACTTCAAGCTGGAGTCACTATGCATCGAACCCAGAAAACCAAAAAATGATCCAGAGCAGCTAGCTTTGAAAATACTAGAACGAGAAAGTCGCCGTCTTCCGAATGGAAGATATGAAACTGGGCTACTCTGGCGAGAAGACAGCATGAAAATACCGAACAATTACACCGAAGCAAGAAAACGCCTGCATAACCTCGAAAAGAGATTAGACAGAGATGAAGACCTGAAAATTAAATACAACGAACGAATCAATAACCTACTCACGTCGGGGTATGCAGAGCACGCCAAGACACCGCCAGCTGAAGACAGAACATGGTACCTGCCACACTTCCCGGTTGCGAACCCAGCGAAGCCACACAAGCCGCCGCGACTGGTGCATGACGCCTCCGCTAAGACTGCAGGTCTCAGCCTAAACGACCTGCTGCTTTCTGGACCTGACCTGTTGCAATCACTGCCTGGGGTGGTGATGAGGTTCAGACAGTACGCCTACGGAGTCTCTGCTGATATCAAAGAGATGTTTATGCAAGTAAAAATTAAGAAAGAAGACCGCGACGCGCTCCGTTTCCTGTGGAGAGGTGACCGGCGGGAGGGCGACCCAGACGAGTACCGCATGACGTCATTAATATTCGGAGCGACGTCATCACCCTGCACAGCTCTGTATATAAAAAACCGCAACGCAGAAGACTACGCGCATATATATCCCGACGCCGCAATCGCTATACGAAGAAATCATTATATGGACGACTATCTACAAAGCTTCTCATCAATCTCAGAAGCCAGAAAAATAACAAGAGAAGTCGATTATATACATAAACAAACCGGCTTCGTACTCAGCGGATGGGCATCAAACAATCGCAATACTATCGACGAGTTTATAGCAAGCGAGCGAGACAACACTTCAGAGAGCGGGACAAATAGTACAGCGGTTCTGATTGGCGGGAGCGATACTGAGCGAGCTCTCGGCTTGTTATGGGATATAAATGAAGACATAATTGGATTTCAAGTTAACAAAATAAAAACGCCGCAAGATATATTAGAAAACAAACGGATACCAACGAAAAGAGAAGCGCTCAGCATCATCATGGCACTCTTCGACCCCCTTGGCCTCATATCACCCATCACAACGCCAGCGAAAAGATTACTGCAAGATACATGGCGCTATAAAACAGGCTGGGACGAATCGCTACCAGAAGAACTGCAGCCAGCATGGAGTACTTGGTTGACATCATTGCGAACTGTACACAAGATACGCATACCACGATGCTATGATGTCACACCAGTGGTCACCCATCATCTGCATACCTTCGTGGATGCCAGTGAAGAGGCGTACGCCGCGGCAGTGTACTGGCTGTCACAAAGAGCCGACGGTACCACACATGTCACCTTGGCCGCCGCTAAAAGTCGCGTCGCACCGCTCAAGCCCGTCTCAATCCCGAGACTTGAACTTCAAGCTGCGTTAATGGGTGCGCGCCTCACACATACCGTGGCGGAGGAGCACGACTACGAAATAGCGAGTAAAACATACTGGAGCGACTCTCGGACAGTCCTAGCATGGATAAGGTCAGAACCAAGGGCCTTTAAGACCTTTGTGGCTCACCGCCTGGCTGAAATAGAAGACACAACAAAGAAAAATGAATGGCGGTGGGTCCCTACACATGAAAATGTAGCTGATGATGCCACCCGAGGTATACCAAGCGAATTCGGACCACAGCACAGATGGTTCAACGGGCCATCATTTTTACATCAGCCAGAAAACGAGTGGCCGCGAGAAACAAGAACAGCGATATCAGTCACGGGCGAAGAGCGAGAGAGATGCCATGTGACCGTTACAAGTACGGCTCACGCACACTTACCTGACATCAACCGATTCTCGCGGTGGCTGCCGCTCATCAAATCGACTGCGCGCGTGCTACAATTTGTCGATCTCTGTCGACCTCAAAGAAATATTGTAGCCGCCACGAAGAAACGAACCAAGAAGAATGAAAAGGGCGATGTTGACTGGAGAAAAAAGAATAATGAAAAAATCATAACAAGAAATGGAAGAACGAAAATAACGACGCCCAGCATCCCGGTGCCAGCGCAGTACCTACTTGAAGCCGAGAGAATGTGGATGCGAGCCTGCCAGGAAGATAGTTTCGGGAATGAAATATTGCGAATAAAAAAGGGAAGTCCATTGAATAAACAAGACAGACTGACAGCGCTAAGTACCTTTTTTTTTTTTTTTAACGTGTGGAAAAATCTTCAAAAGACCGTCACCCCGCCGGAGGGATGGCGAGATGGTGTGTGGGACTTGTACCCACTAAAAAACCACACGGTGTACCTACGAGCGCCTATGCCGGAGCCAGGGGATTCGCAAGTGCATTCTACCCCAGCTCCGACGGCGACGGCCCGCCCTGTAGATGTTGTAGGGCAGGCCCCATCTCGTTTTGTGGTTAGGGCGACCTATTTCGCCCTACTCCATTGTGGAGGCGTGTGGGTACACGCGCACACCTCCGGGGCCTTTGGATTGGGGGACTGCCTCCCTCAAGGCAGTCACCCCGGCCCCAGGGGGGGATAGAGGGGGGCGGAGTTGGGTACGCCCCCACCTCTAGGCCTGGCTCTTCTGCGGCGGAGAAGAGCGGCGGCGGAGAGAAGCGGGACGATCTGACTCCCGCTCCCTTTCCGCCGCCTCCTTCCGCGAGATAACTTCCTCGCAGAAGGAGCTCACCGCCAGCCACGATCTCGCGCTACTGATCATCCTCCGAACTAAATTCGGCAGCGAGAGATCGTCCCCCACTATTCGTGTGAGGACACGGCGCTCACTCTCGAACGCTGGACATTCGTCCAGCGTGTGTTGCGCCGTGTCCTCCACACCTCCGCACTCGTGGCAGCCGGTCGTCGGCTCCTTCCTCGCCACATGACACAGATACCGCCCGAAGCACCCGTGCCCGGACAGTATCTGTGTCATGCGGTACGTCAGTGGCCATCTCCTATTCATCCATCTTTTGAGGATGGGACGGACAGCCTCGACGGTCCTCAGACATCGACACAACCGGAATGCTGTGATTAAGAGGACGAATTACAGCAACATCGAACGTAGAAAAAGATGTACTCAACCCACCCGTGTTAGACGGGAAACACAGATATACACGTCTGTATATACAACATATACATGAAACAATGCACCACGGCGGTATAGAAACGGTAGTGAATGAGCGGCAGCGGCTGTGGGTTGTAAAAATAAGACCCACAGTACGGAACGTCATCAAGGGGTGTCTGGTCTGCCAGATAAGAAGAAAGAAGCCAGCAAGCCTAGCGCATCACGCTCGCCCCTTTACCTACACAGGGCTGGACTACTTCGGCCCCATTGAAACCACAGTCGGACGGCACCGAGAAAAACGGTACGGCGCCCTCTTCACGTGTATGACATCACGAGCCATACACATTGAAGTGGTGCATACCCTCGGCACTCATTCAGCCATCGCCGCCCTAAGGAGGTTCATGGCTCGGCGAGGTTGTCCAACGGAAATATGGAGCGACAACGCTACGTGTTTCAAGGCAGCTGAAAAGGAACTCAAGGCGGCTATGGCAGCACTAGAAGAGGAGGCCACCAACCGCAGCATCGCGTGGAGGTACATCCCACCCGCTGCTCCCTTCATGGGCGGGGTATGGGAACGCATGGTGCGGTCAGTAAAGGAAGCCCTACGAGTTACGCTGCACGAGCGTTATCCCACAGACGAGACATTGGTGACCCTGCTAGCCGAGGTGGAGAATACAGTCAACTCCCGACCTCTCACTCACGTGTCCGTCACACCGAGCGATCCGGAGGCATTAACACCGAACCATATCCTGATCGGCCCCAACTCACACGTGCCTAATCCCGGAGTGTTCAACAAAGGAGATATGAACGCACGACATCATTGGCGACGAGCACAAGCGTTAGCAGATGAGTTCTGGAGGCGCTGGGTGGTGGAATACCTACCCTTACTTCAACACCGGCGGGAGCCCCGAGGTACCGGTGTTCCCCCCAAGGTTGGCGACATAGTCATCATATGCGACCCCAACCTACCCCGAAATACATGGCCACGGGGACGCGTTGTGAAGACCTACCCCGGGAAAGATAACCCCAACACGGTGCGAGTGGTAGACATCACAACGAGCAACGGGCGCACCCTGAGAAGACCAACAAAACGAATCGTCGTGCTACCAGTAGAATCGCAGGATAGCGACGGCGGGAGAAATGTACACGACGGAATCAATTAGATATAATTAGTATAAGCAAAATTTGTAAGATCATTTTTGTTAATAATAATAAATCACGCGCAACATACAGTTGCAGTAGGGAAGGCCACCCGTCGGGCGTCTATATAAAGAACGCGGCCGCGCAGCGGTCCGCATTCACTGGCGAGACAGCGACCCGATAGGTGCCTTCCTACTAAGTACAAGATAACAACCGAGCATTTTTATTTCGCCGCCCGACCATACGACCAGGGGATCCTAGTACATAGTCCTGTCATCATCACAACCGCATTGAGTTACGTTAACC